AAAACAACTACTTTATAGTAACGTTTTTAAATGTATACTCAGCGAAATCAGAAATGTAAATTCAAATTTCATCTGCGATTAATTTATCATTTCTTTTGCAATTGTAAAAAAGCAATACGTCTTTATTCATCCATTTCGGTGGGTTTTTTTTTATTAATTTGTCATAAATGAAACAAAGATGCCGCGAAGATTTGATTTTATAACACGTCAATGTAAGGTAAGTCGAGTTTCTTAGGTCACGCGTTTAGTACCGCGTACGACCATCGTTTGAGCCGAAACAGCTATACAGCTTCGTTGCTGTGAACATGCAGGGACGTTGGCCTATTCACCGTACAACGCCTAGGCCGGCTCCTTCAGGTGAGACGTCTGAATTTGACGTTTTCGAACGCGTTGCCCAAGAGCGTTGTATGGTTGCAACCACAATCACCACCCCAAGGCAGACCATTACACTACCACCACTAAACCAATCCCTTTGAACATCGCATTAGTTCACAAAGCGTCCATGCTGACGTCTTCAGATTCTACACCTCCCCTCAATATGTGACAGGCAGAATTTTGATTCGGGCTTCGACCCAATTCGAAGAAAAATGAACAGTCAGAACGCACGTCACTGGTATTAACATTCTTTCACCTACTTTCCGACACCTGAGGTATTTTATGCGAACGTTAGTGTATGATCTACAACATTGAGCGTTCAAGAGTGTCATCGTATAGGAAAGACTTGGATTTATTTGACGGCTTGGTGCATTATAAGACGGACGGTGCCATCAATACACTATATCAATGAAACAAGAGAATATCAGTGTGTCAGGAAACCAATGATTGGAACTCAGAATTGATAGAACCGGGGCAAAACATAAACAAATGAGCAAATTACATAGAGACCCTGGACAAACGTATAGGGGGAATACTATCAGGTGCTGCTATAGGCTGAGCGTCGTGTTCAGATTCATTTACTACACCTGCTATATAAATTTAGGAAAATACAAGTTATTTCACGTCTCACAACTAACATAACATAACCCACTGTCACGTAGGAGAGACTGAGAGGTGCGAGAGAAATTCGATAAACAACTGAGGGATGTAAGAATCAAAACGGGAAAGCCAATAATCACTTCAGGGGAAGATGTAAAGATTTTCATCGTGAAGTTGTTTATAATAAAAGAAAGAGAAAGAAAAAATGGCTGCAAATTATTATCATGGATGCAATGTTAAGATAGTCATTCCGGAGTATTTCTCAATGCTCTGTATCTAATAATGACATCACAAGGATCAATGACGCGTCAAAAGGACCATAGTCAGCTGTACACTTGAACTAGCCCCGTTGTTGGTTTTTGTGTGTTAATTTCAATGGTTTCATTTGTCGTAAAACTGTCAAAACCTGATGAAGTTGAATTGCCCATAGGTATTAATTGGCCATAAATATTGATAGACCTCACAGTATAGAGATATCCACCCGGAGTAATCGATCGATGGTAAACTATAATTAATACTGAGGTAGGATTGGGAATGTCACGTTTGTCACGTTGTGTGTTTATTAGAACCTATTTGTCGACCTAATGAATTGCATACGTCAGGGTGAGGAGCTAAGGTGAGTATCTAGCCCAATATTGGACTGATCCAATGTTGGGCTGGCGCAATATTGGGCTAGTTTGATATTCAATTGTAACTAACATAATACGTCTTATGCCACTGTTTCACACCTATACCACAACTGGGCATCTTCTAAGGTATCCACATGCAAAACGGCATCAACGATACCCCAGGCTTAAGATGCCCACTGGGCATAATTTCGAATTTCAGTACATAATCGTTAATTTTTCGTTTTCAACAGGCCAGGGCATATTGTTATAGGTCTTATGTCGCTTTTTTTTTACACCTATACCACAACTGGGCATCTTCTGGGGTATCGTTGATGCCGTTTTGTATGTGGATACTTTAGAAGATGCCCAGTTGTGGTATGGGTGTGAAAAAAAGCGGCATACGAACTATTATGTTAGGTACATTTGAATGTCAAACTAGCCCAATATTGCGCCAGTCCAATATTGGGCTAGCCCAATATTGAATAAGTAACCAACTTTACGCTGGTGCTGTATATAGTATATCGGTAAGTATAACTTAATCAATAGTTTAGTGTGCTATATTTTCATCTGTGGTTATTCATCCCAGTGCACCCCATGACATGGTAAAGTGTATCTCAGACCGTGATTGGACAGTTGTACAAAACAATGCAACACATGAAAAATAAAATCAGTACATCTATAAAATTAATATCAGTATAAATATCCGACATTTTTGAAGTAATGCGTTGATTTTTGTAGTGGCAAGAGTAATATATTGTGTTGAAACAAATGTATTGAATGTCACATTCGCGAGTACTCGCGATATGGATTGCAATGTACAATGTAAATTGTGTTTAACAATTAGAAAATGCAAATAAATGAACCGTAAATAAATAAAGTTGGACGTTTGCACTTTGCCATAAAATGCCGTTTTAACGGTCCAAACTTTGCTTTTCACCATTATGTTGACGGTGAGATGTTTGTGGTGTAGACACTTCTAATAACACGACGCGTGTTGTAAGCGGTGAAGGTCTTCAAGTGTCACGATTAAGCCTACCCATCCCCGAGTTAACGGTATATGTCTGTTATCTTATAATTGTCATACACATGGGTATACACGTATTTAGATATCACATACGGTGATCTGTGGATTTTACTTGTTACAGCTTTAAATAGACTTTATCACGGTTATAAAGGTTTTAAATGATATTTACATAGTGCATGGTACTAATTAGAACATACGAGTGGTTCTTTTTTAAACAGCTGCTGCTGCTGCTTGCACATGTTGGAGCCTAACCCTAACCCTAACTGTTTATTGATTGTTTCCCTACAAAGTGGCATTCGATCACAGGTTTAAGTGCATACGCACACCTTCGAATATAAAAAGGCACGTATTTTACTGAAGTTTGGTCGGTGTTGTTGATAGTAGGGAGAAAACTATGAGAAAATGTTTCAAATGTACAGAATTAATGATGGCAAGTATTTCCATTGAAAACATGACAGCTACATAATTATAAATTATACTCATAATACTAACAAGGCTTTCGGTGCACGAGCCAGATCAGACTGCACGCGCCACCTAGCGCTAAATTACAGGAAGTATACTCTACAGGTGAATCATATGTGATGTAAAATACAGGTTATCATTTTGAATATTTGAAACCGTTACTAACATTTTACTCCATTATATGAACTAAATGGATACTTAACTCAGTGTCAATAAAATACAATTGTTGATGTATTCGTGCGCTTCATGTCGCCGAAAACAAAACTATTTAATATGGTGGAAAAGATGGTCAGAAAAAATACCCCACACACATGAATACAAATGTTTAATTACTAAAAGAAACATGTTCATGCCATGTACAAAATAAACCTGATTAACGTACCATCCAATGGTTGATAACCAGAAAAAAAACCGGAATGAGATTTCTAATTCTGCTCCTCTACAATGCCCTCTAATACTTGAATATTGTCCAGTGTGTATCGTAGAGGAGTGGAATTACGTAAGTCTGATTTTAATTAGATGTGGGTCGTGACTGAAAACGGAACAAAACTCACTCCGAGTTAAGTACAATATATTTAACTGTCAAACATTTAAATAGTCCATATAGATCTCGAATTTAAAATATCACCATAAAAACTGTCAAAATGCATGGTACCAAGTTAGGTAGCGTCAGGTTAAATCTGAGATCAAATTTAAACTAGTATTTTCATTAGTCGTACTTTACATTAATACAGTAGTATATAGGACCCCATACTTTTTGGTGGTGCCTGTAGAATTGCCCGAGAAACGAAACCACATGACACCGCACAATTTTGTTAAGGAGACAATTGTAAAAGATGTCCATTGATAAGTTTGCCTAACAAGCGTCAGGTGTAGGAAATTTCCCTTTAGCTCAGCGGTAGATCGGGCTTGAGAACCAAGGGTCGCGGGTTCGAGCCCCAGCGACGGCACTATCTTCATCACTATTCCTCGTCATATTACAAATTGATGCCGTTGACCATCCCCGTTCAAGGTAGGAGACCCTTGCCGAGAAGTCAAAGAACCTGAGTTGGTGTTAAAAAAGGAGGGAAAAGTGTAAAAGATGTGAATTGATTAGGTCAGAGACTGACTACTGGCTTTATACGTCTCTGATTAGGTTGCCCTACAAGCGTCAGCTGTAGGGAATTTCCCTTTAGCTCAGCGGTAGATCGGCCGCGAGTTCAAGCCCCAGCGACGGCACTGGTCTGATCTTTATCACTATTCCTCGTCCAACACAATGATCAAAGGTTGCATGTTAAAAAATCTACAGTTTATATTTTTTTGTTTTCTAAAAGGAAATGCATATAGATGTGAAAACAAATAGTGAAAACCACCCACTCAGGTTTGATTACACAGCAGTCATCTGATGATAAATTAAACCACAAACTAATTGCAACAGAAATATTTCTACTGTAATAATTAAGTTTATCATATCTTAAAAAAATATCAAAAATCGACAAAGGGGAAAATGCTTTAACTCTGGTTGCAAATGTGTAGCTTTACGTCGGAGTCTAGCTAACTCCAAATTGGCAAATGCAGACGATGCTTCATTGCTTTGTAATTTTGACCGCGCTAAGTAAATATTGCACATTTTGATATAAAAATTCATATAGAAATGTTAAATTATTGCGATTATAACTTATTTCCCCATACCATGGAACGGCAAAATCTGGATGGGACGACAATTTGTTACCCAGTGCTAATTATATAAGTTAGTAACTGACAATTTTGAATACAGAGGTATATAAGGTAATGTGCTAGTGAGTAAAATAGTGTAAATTTACTTAGATGGATTTATTTTCTTCGAAACCGATGCAAAAAAGATCAGGGCACAGAAACAGGTGTGGCACAGAAAATCAGACGACACCTTTTTATTTAAATAAAACACGTGACTACGTTATGAGTGACGTACATGTACTTCCTGTTTCCGCTGCGGACAAAACCATGGTCTGTTACATCTGCTGCTTTAAAGCTTCGTCGACTTATCAATTGCGTTGGGTAACTAGAATAATTATTAATGCACAAATGTCATGTTGCATGATATTGTGTCATGGAGTCTGAAGTAGGCCTATGTCACATCGCTGCAGCTGCGTAAGATTACAGTTTGCATGGAGATAATGCGAAGGGGAGATAACTGAATTAGCCCTTTCTAGTTTCTGCCAATACACAGGTGCTCGGGTTTTGGAATATATTTAGGTATCGCAAATCACTATAATAAATAATTTGGTTCTAGAATACGTATAACGTTTTCTGTTTAGTTATTGCGTCCCGCTAAATTAGGGCCTACTGTATCAAAACTGGTGTAACTTATACATTCCAGGATCCGAGCCCCTGTGGGTTTCGTCACAAGAGTCTGAAAGAATATAACGTTACCGCTAATTTATTATCAATTTTCTCGGAATTCTAGATATTTTTAAACATATCACGCAGCGCATCATTCATATTGATAGATGGTGTCGTTTCGGGACATGTCAAAAGTCGTTTCGAGATTCTTATTATTATTATTTTATCTTTTTGAGATACCATTGTCTTTTGTCTTTAAACATATTTAATATCAACTAAATTTAGACAATCGATTGGATAAAAATGATTACAACTTATCATATAATGGTATTACATGATTTTAATAACATGCTTAAAACATTGTTAGAATCAATGTTAACTCATTCGTCTCTTAATGTCAATAACAATAACGAAGAATAAAGTGAATTGGAAACATATTGTTACAATATCAAACGAAGGTTAAATATATCAAACAAGGAATTAACCTATCGGTAATGAAAGACATTGATGTTGAATATCATAAGTTCCTCTAGATCTGTATTTGATAATGAGATTAAGTTTCATCTGGTAATAACACATTGTCAATCAGGTAAATGTTGGTAGTTATCCCCTCAAGCACTAGACTAAAACCATACTTGTGTATTTACATGACTTTTTATGAAACGGGAGCAAAATGTTATTTATAATTGAAAATTGTTTATGTCCCGAAACGACTTGATTAAGTCCCGAAACGACTTAGGGACTCCCAAAATGACTTGTTACCGAAACGACCTATTACCGAAACAACTAGCATCATAATATGCTAAAAATGTTGATGTGGTATTACTGTAATTACGATTTTTGACAGAATTTCATACTCCTGTGAGTAGTGATAGTCGGATAGATTTGGACATTGTTAACTTGAATAACTATTTAGATAATAAACTACATTTTGTGGTTAAAGAAGATGCATAATATGAAATAATGCCAGAATGATACATGAATTGACACACAGCTAGGTTGGTTCCGGGTTGTTTTGCCCCAAATCCCGTTCACCCTAGCTATAGGTTGTTTCGCCCTAAAAAAAAAATTAAGAGGGCGAAACATTGTTTGGTGTTTTCTTTCAATTTCGGTAGTTTTAAGTCGCAAATCAAATCATCAACAAAATGTGTTTGTCTTGTTTTTAAGCAAGTGTGACAAACGGCAGCTGTGAAAAGCTGACTCCGTTCTCACATACTCTACATGAAATGTACCAAACACCATTGTAGAAAGTCATCAATAAGTTTAGTTAATGTATTTAAATATTAATTATTATATTAGCGTATGCATTTTTTTAGGGCAAAACAACCTAGGGCGAACAGGATTTAGGGCGAAATAACCTGTTACCGCTTGGTCAGATAAACAACGCAAATTTGAGCCAGAGTTATTTAGGGTCATACAATTACATGTATGATGCATAGTGTTTTATACATTCTATGTGGTTTTATTAGTTGCCAACTTACCCCCTCAAGTCGACCGAACACCGACTTTGTCTATGAAGTGTAGATGAATAATAACTCAACCAAAACCAACCAGCCAGGGGGGAACGAGGTGCATGTGGTCACTCTAGCATGACAAGTGTTAGCTAGATTAATTGGGTTGTGCCATCGAGAAGTTGATGTTTTGACAAATTTAGGAAAATATCATGAAGAAAAAGGGAAAGTTTATGTAGAACAGGGAAATAAGTCCCTTCATAGGGAATTAGAACTGTCCATATTGAGAATATCCTCAGAAATAGGGCATTTTTTCTAAGTTTTGTGAGGAACTTTATTTAAATGAACTTTTAATGAATTTTAAAGAGTCAATTAAGGTTCATTAATTGGGGGTCTAGCAGATCAAGCCATAGAAGTCTCCCGGCTGGATCCCGAGAAACTGGGAATTAATTAAAGCACGGATAGATTGCAATGTCGTATATTTTACAACTGTGTTTGATGTTTGGACCAGTCCCATATATAATCTGTGCAGATTAAACATAAGGACTAGAATATTCCTTGCTGATGTCAGAGAGAGCCTTCTCTGGGATAGGTGTAAGGTCTTTTATCATTGCGACCACAATATACATATGGTATACATATAAAAGTACACATATATTAAAGCTTTAATTATGACTTAATGTCTATAATTTGTCAGTCAGTGTTTATGTACATGTATGTAAGATTTACCATTCAGAAAGCCCACATGTAGAATGTTTTTGATTTTACCTGCTGGATTTGTTGTTCGACTATTGGTTTGCCTAGAGCTGGCTATTCTTATGCGTTATACTTATATATATAGAAGATATGTCATTAGTTTCCCTTCATATTAGATTACGATACAAAATTTGGATTTTTCATGTTTGCGAGCCTCTAGCTGGCAAACAAATACATTGTATGAAAAATCCAAAACAAGTATATCATAAATCTAATATGAAGGGAAATGAATGACAAATTCTTTTTGTCATATAATACTTTAGTATACGTAAACTGTATAATTGTGATCTGAAAGGAATATTTTACACTTGGTCGCTTCACAGTGACGTGACGTCACATTGATTGTTCCCAATTGATTGTAACATCATTTCCGGAGTGATATTACACATGTTACATAAACATAATTTAATATAATATAATGACTGGTTATTTTATTAGCTCACCTGGCACGAAGTGTTAAGCTAAGTGAGCTTATGCCGTGGCGCGTCGTCCGAGCGGCGTCAATATTTTACTTTAAATGACATCTTCTTAATAACCGAAAGGCCTAGGGTGTCGATATTTAGCCAGAAGCAAATTGGGGTGAAGGGCTACAAAGTTTGTTAAAATCAATGACCTTCACCCATTTTCAAGGTCACAGGGATCAAATATGTTAAAAACTTTAAACAACTTCTTCTGAATAACCAAAATGCCCAGGGTGATGATATTTAGTCAGTAGCATACTAGGATCAAGGGCTACCAAGTTTGTTTAGATGTATGACCTTGAATCATATTCAAGGTTACAGGGGTCAAATTTGTTTAAAATCTTTAAACAACCTCTTCTGAATAACCATGGGTCCCAGGATGTTGATACTTTGCAAGTTGCATCCTGAGATGAATGGCTATAAAAAAAAAATCAACGTAATGACTTTGTTCAACTTTCAATCACAGGGGTGAAATGTTTTTAAAAAAAATGACAGGGTCTTTTGAATTAATTTTAATCATAAATACTGATATTTTGCCTGTAGCTTTATTTTAGATCACTTTTAAGGTTACAAATGTGAAATTTATACCAGGTGAGCGATGCAGGCCCATTGGGCCTCTTGTTATTCTTTAGAGCCTATGATAAAAAGTTTTGCTATCATGTACTCATTTGAATCTCTGTAATTTTATAATACAACAAAATGAAAAGTAAGATTTGTAATGGGTTCTGCAGTCGAGATATTACTGATATTTTTGTTCACACTAAATTTAACAAACTGGCATATTTGTAACCATCCAAAAGGCCATTGATTTGAGTAAGACGCAATATTATGTTAGATGTATAAAGAATTATCTATGTTCCTGAATATATGACACTGATGCTTAACACTAATTAAATACCACTAATGTTTAATGTAAATGTATGCATATTCCAGGATTAATTAAGATAGCATTTGGCTTACAGCTGTTGTTTAATTTTTATTATTTTATCTCTTCCCATCAGATCTGGAGGTCATCCAATTGATGAAAGTTTCATCTCAGGGCTGGAAAGTAAATCAGCAGAATCTGATAGACAGGGTAAGTGGTAAAGATATCACCAATGACCAAAACTGATATGTGTGCGTGATTTTCCTGCACCATCTGTATACTGCATTTATCTGGCAATAAGCCGATACCTGATAATAAGCCCATCCAAATCATTGTAGTTCATTAGAAATAGACAACTAACTATTCCACGGTCCTGTAATAAGCCCACCTCCCTACTTAGAGCGAGAGCTTTTGTTTTGGCCCATTGGGCTTATTTCAGGATGTGTACCTTATATATATGTTGATGCCAAACAATATGTTTGTTTCCTGCAACATGTCTGAAAAAATCAGGTAAGGAAGGTAATACACTTTGTGTTTTATTTTTTTCAAAGGTTTATACAGGAGAGTTATCTGGACTTTAATCGTGCTAACTCGAAAATTGCTAATAAATTTTAGGGTAGGCACGAAATGTTAGGTATGGTAATCAGAAACAAAAAGATATTTGTTTTTAACTCGCCTATTCAAGTTCAAGTTCAAGTTCTTTATTACTTTAAGTCGGTTGACTTATCAGTCATAACATATATACAAAACAATACAGAGACAACATACAATATCACACACACACACATACACACACACACACACACACACACACACACACACACACACACACACACACATACACAATTCAACTTTTATTTGACAACTTATTGGATAACTATACTTTACAATAAATTACAAATTACGTATATGTATTGTGCAATCAACACTCATTATCACTCCCACATCATTATTGTGCATTCAACAATCATTAACGCTCTCACATCATCATCATCATCATCATCATCATCATCATCATCACCATCCTCTTCATCATCATCATCATCATCATCATCATCAGCATCATTAACATCTGACATTAACAACAACAACATGTAATCCGTAATGATACAAATGTCAATAATACATAAATAGACATTTATATAAATTATATTGATGTGCATGTTTACGTCACTCGTGCCTTATTTGCCTCAAAAATGTATCTAGCAAGTTTACGTATTCGGAGGCGTCCCACCTTCTGAGGTTAAAGTTTTTGGGCAAGTTTGTTCCAGACAGTGTTCGATCACACTCAATACACAGTTGTCTATTATGAGTTTAAGTGATTTATTAGTTCGCCTATTCGGAGAATAGGGGGGCTAATGTAGTCACCCCAGCTAGCTAGTTGTCTATTACGATTTTAAGTCATTTATATCGAGTGTAAGTGATATACTGGATATTGTTCATAATTTTGCTTAGTTAAATTTGAGGTTTAAGTTTTTGGGCAAGTTTTTTTGAGAAGTGTTAGTGTTGGACAACCATCATCAACAGGCTGTTGTCTATTATAAGGTTGAAGTATTTATATGGAGTGTAACCAATGTGCTGAACCATTTTTTCATATTTTAGGGGCCAAAAAATCCAGCTTAATTGGACTTAGTTAAAGTTTTTGGGTAAGCTTGAGCAAGTTAAAGTTTTTAGGCAATTTTTTTTTGAAGTGTTGGATCACCACCATCAATAGTCTGTTGCCTATTATAAAGTTGGAGTATTCTTATGGAGTGTACACAATGTTCTGAATTGTATTTTCATCATTTTAGGGGCAAAAGCTGGTTAGTTGGACTTGGTTTAAGTTTTTGGGCAAGTTATTTATGCATTGTTGGATTGGTCACCAGGATCTATATATGCGGTTGACTATTTCACGTTGACTGGTCATCTCTTCTTACATGTTAAGTGACAGGAAAACCTCATTATATTGCCATCATTTGTACAAAGAAATTTTGGCATTATAAAAGGGTTTGGCGATAAATTGAGGGAAACGTATAAGGAATTCTTAAGAAAAACATAACTAAGGGACCTGAAGTTGTCAAAACTCTTAACACATAACATACAACTACTAAAACCTCTAATCTAATCTAGAACTGATAAATAATAAGATGAAAACAGTCTTTTGATGAGTTCATAATGCCAGATAATTATCTCCCACATTTTGAAGAAAGTCAGGAGACATTAATTTGGGCCCATCCGTCTGTCATGTTTCATGCGATAACTATGCTAAAAATGGTATGATTTCAACAAAATTTAGTGTGCACATGTATACATATTAAAATGTTAAGGACTAAATTCGCTCATCAATGTGATCCTTTTACAATATGCAAAATTAATTACACTTATACATTTTGATTGGTGGTATTGGTTTCCATGCAATAAGTGTCCTTATAATAATGGTCCTATTTCAACAAAATGTAACAGATCCATTTTGTACGGAAAACAATGTTTTCAGAGATCCTAAACTTCTATCCTGTAATTGATTTCTATATATCAAATAGATGAGGACAAATAACTGCAAGTACTAAAACTTATGACACGCAGTTATTTGGAAGTTCAAATTTGGTGAATATGGGTACCAAAAAGTGGTCATACCATACATAGTTCTGTGACCTTGAAACCCTTGAATATGACAGTTGAGCAATAGCATACAGGTTCATTGAACCTTTTTTTTTTACAAGGAGGTCCTCTAAAATTGCAATTCCTTTAGATATGAATTCCATGGATAATATTAGAAATTAAAATATTAAAAAAGTCATGTCGGTAGGAAATTCAAATATACAAGAAATAATGCATTTCACTGTAATACATTTTTTTAAGCCGCTCTTGGCGAGAGCCGAGCGGCTTATTAATTCTGTCCAGAGAACGAAATGACGGACCCACTTCCGTTACGGATGCGTGCGCATAATTCAGTCTTGCATGCTTCCGCTATATAGTTTCGTTATCGTAAATAGAAAGTAGAATCTCTGACACTCACCTGTGGGTTACATTAAGTCTTCTGATACTCTTCTCCAAGTAATAATCTATACTTTTAATAATTGCCGAAAACAAAATGTTTATCTCCGGTGCATTCTACAAGTGTTGTGGTGGTGAAATTCGTGCACTACGTTTGAGCTTTTTAGCAACTCGGATTGAGGTCTGAGGAGTGTTACGCGTGTGAAACACATATGATTCGAGAAAGCACAT